TTCAAATAACAAACTAATGTCGATATTTATAGCTGAATTTGTTCTTCAACGTAGGCCATATCAGATTTTGAATAATAAGCTCATTATTAAAACTAAATATAAACACTTTCAGTTTTTAGGATAAAGAAAAAATATTACAAATCTTTATAATTAAAAGAGATCTAAAAATCTTACTGATAACACATATTTTCTAAAAGAATCTTTCTATAATAAATACTCATAGAGTTTATATTTAGTCTTAATAATCAGCTTATTATTCTTATGACAACTATTCTTGATGATAAACTCGATAAAGCGGCATTATTATTATATTGCTGCAGAAAATTAGTTGTAGTATCTAGACAATTTACAAAGGTTTTTTCTCCTTTCTTCATATCGTAGATGCTGACTTTTGAAACTGGTGAAAAACCAAAGTCTGTTTGATCGAAAAACCTTCCTTTGTAATGACCTGTACTCGATGCAGTCAGCGCATAGGTTGAAGTAGATCCTGACTTGTTGGAATTTATCTGAAATGCAAGTTTTATAGAAGCTTTGAGGTTGTCTCCTTTTCAAAACTCTTCCTTTTGATTCACAAAATCTATATCATTTTCAAATGTATTGACAAATAAAAAATTCATCCAAAAACAGGACATTGTTTCATTACAAGTAATTTCCCAGTACAAATGATGCATTCTTTCGATTATACGTGACGTATCATCCGGATTCGATATTAGCCTAGGCCAATATTACATTGGTCTGATTAATTCTAAATTGTACTTTAGACTAATCCAATGTTAGATTCGCCGGGGGTACTTTTTGATGATACTTTTTATTACATTTTACTTGGACTAGTTCATACTGAAATTTGACTTTGGCCTTAAATAACTCTGGGCGAAAGTGAAATTAGACTTTGGTCTAGTTTAAAGTGGAATTTGATTTTATCTTAGGCCAATATTATATTGGACTGTATTTCACTTTGGACGCTAACATACACCTACATATTTATCTTGTTATTGATATAAAATCTGACATGGAGATGATAAAAAGTTACGCAAGTAGAGTTATCCTCAGATTCGAGTATTCTCAACAATGATTCGCTGATAAGCCTATTTCAGATCTCTCCCCACTAGCTTAAGATACAAAATTAAATTTTCTACAATATGGCACAGTTTTTTTTTTGTGGGTCCTCGAGATAGTGGAGAAAATTAAATTTTACCTTGTTTTAGGTAGTAATTCAACCACAGATGCATTTCTCGACCTGTTCCACCGCTGAGTACTATTCCATCAGACTCAGCTTGAGAAGCTGATTTCGTTTTCCCGTAAACTGCTTTAGGCCAAGAAAAATCAATTTGAAGTTTTCCACTATCAATAATAGAAGATTTTTTGTTGTTTTCAACACACATTCATTTCTCGATCAGTTCCACTACTGAAAACGTATGGATCAGACAGAGGAAAGAATTCCCTTTAAAATGGGCTCATTTCATTTTTGTTTAAAATCAACTTCGAATTTGAAAGAAATGAAAAAATAGGATAGTTTTTGCAGTATTTTAGTCATAGATCTTTAGCTATAAAACTCTAAAAAATACGAAGTTATAGAATTTACAGGAAAAGCCCTGAATGTTCATTGTCAGCTCAAAGCTACAGAAATAAGAAGAATATAATTCAGAGCTTTTCTTGGAAGTTCTATAACTTTGCCAAGAAAGTTCATGTAGAGATGAGAGATGTCTCATTTTTATCAGAATTTCGTGGGCTACAATCGTAATCTATTAAGAGAAAGTTTTAGGGACTTTTTGAGGTTTCTGGAAAACCAGTTTTTCAGAAAATCGCTCTAGGAAGACCTAGTGGACCGTCCCATATGAATATTCGGAATGAGCGTGGTCGATAACCTATAACCTACTAGGTTGCGATCAGAAAGCGATTAGACAGTCGAAAAAGGTTCCTCGTAAGTTCACTGTCACTCGAAGTATGCAACACGATAAGCCAAGGTTCTTCTCTGACGAAAAGTTCATAAAAAGATAAAGGTCTCCGAAGTAACTCATATGCAATAAAAATAGGGTTCGATCCTTTAACATAGAATTTTTTTGTTTAAATAAGATTTTAAAAAACCAACCTTGCCATCTTGTAGAACATTTTTAAAATGACTTTAAAGAAAAAGAACAGGAGTCATGTTCTAGAGAATTCATTTCTCACCTTGGTCCATTTACTTTCAGTTTTGGAACCGGTAGAGAAGTGAATCTAGGATCAAATTGGTTCAAAAAACCTCCTTATTTTTCATTAGTTCAAAATTCAAAAGTTAAATCTAATCGAAAATGAAATGAGCCATATTGTAGCAAATTTATTTCTCGTCTAAGTCGATAATTTTACTTACGTTGGAGAGTTTTACAAAGGAACTTAAGTTGGATCATCTCATTACACACGAAAACTAAAGATAAAAGTAGAGTGACTTTGAATAATGAATAATGGAAAATTTGCATGTCATACAATCGTCTGAGCTATCATGTCATTTTAGAGTTGTCACTTTTAGAAATCCAAAAAGCGAAAAAAAGACTGAAGAAAGAGGAAAACAGTTTTTTCGCTTCCTGATGCGTTTTAAAGAGGAACACAATTAATCAAAATAAAGATGCATTTTCAAATCAGTAGATTCAGGAAGGATGAAGATTCACTTTATAGATGCACTACTAAAAACTAAAGTTTATCAAAAAGTAATTGCATTCAATCAAGAAAAGAAAATAGACGAGACGGATTAAAGTTCAGTGAGCAGAAAAGGTGGTAATCTTGTGTCGTTTGTTCAAATTTTTTGAGAATTACGGTATTATTTCTTTACGCCTTTCTATTAGTAGATGAGCAAGATTTAGCTATTCGTAAAGAAATCGTTCATGATATGTGTTGAAATTGTACAATAGTCGTCCAACAGAGATAACATTTCGTCATTATGACGAATAAACACAATTCGATGATTCACTTCAATTTTCGGCTAATTTGTTATCGGTTAAATCAACATTTCATGCATTACCAAAACTATTTAAAGATTCAGAAGTAACATGAAATGATGCAGACATTGAATCAAATACAGATTTAATTCAGATAACGTTGTCATGGAAGTTAGTCATAAAAGAAACGATTATTCATTCAACAATGTTACTTACAATTAAAAATAATAAAATTGTTCGGCATGAAGAACGATGAAACGGTAATCCGATACCAAATGCTGAAACATCATTTATGAGACGAATTAAAGAAGTAAGTAATCGTATTTTCTATTTTTCTCCTCTTCCTTTAGGTCTTTAGAGTTAATGGGTTTTTTAAAAGATGCACCATGTAATTTTCTATTAGAACGTGTAAGAAGTTTTGGTCTATGATTAACACAAAAAGAAAAATCTAGACGAAAAATTTTTGATACACCAAAGTGACCAACTTTATAAACTTTTATCTCATTAAGTAAAAAAATTTTCTCAGAGTCTAAGATTAGTCAGAAAGTCTGAAACCTTGTTTTCTATCGTATCGAATGTGCCCTTTCCCATAGTCTGTAAGAATTTTTTTCTAAAGCTGATGACGTGGCACATGGATCAAATTCTTGATAACCGACCAAAAAAGGACAATTTTTTTTATCCTTCGTGCTGCACTGTAGAAACTCGAAATTGTATGCACGTCTCGGCTATGTGCTTAGAATAAATCTAAACCCAAAAGCTCCATTTTTGACCGAATTATAAGAGTTTTATGAGAAGCACAAAACATAGCAGATGAAAAAGTTTAAATACAGCAAAATTTCTGACGGAAAAAATGTTTAAAAATTAAAGAATAACTTGTGTTTTGACGTCAGAAAATTTAAAGTATAGCTAAAAGAGTTTTTTCACGAGCCACAATATGGTTAGTTTGGTGTTTCAATTGCAAAGAAACTGAATGAAGAAAATCCCGTTGTTAAATTACAAAGTTGATCACTCTGGCGCTTTTCAAAGTTTTTCGTCTAGATTTTTTTTGTATTTTGATCATAGACCAAAACTTCTTACATGTTCTAATAGAAAATTTCATGGCGTATCTTTTAAAAAAGAACAAGAACCTAAAGGAAACAAGAGGAAGAAAAAAAGAATACTGACTCTATCATTCATTACGGTTCATTCGTTAGATAAGAGAAGCTCAGATCAACATTTTTTCCTAGACAGAAGGTTTCAACGGGAAAGATACTAGCTGACAAAAGATTTTTTCGATATAAAATTAGATAACTGAAGAGTATATAACAAATATTTCTGTTTATGTATCTCAGTTGAGAAGTCTGTCAGATAAATAGGCAAAGTATTAATTCAATCAAACTAAAAACATTATGAAACGTGGTATTTTACTCGAAACTACTCATACATGTTCGAATACGTTTTCCTTTATCGCTCTGTCTAGGTCATACCGCATAACAAAAAAAGTGGTTGTTTTCTTTTTCTCTTCTCGTTTTCGTAAATGTAATCAAAAATTGTTTGTTCGTTTGTCTGTTTTAGATACGTTGGTTGATAATAAAAAGACAACAGATGATTTCATATCTGTCAATCTATTTATTTAAACACGTTGTCATTTTATTAGTCAGTTATTCTAATCATGTTTTCATATGACTATTTTTAATGTAATTTGGCTTAATTTATAAATAAATGTGTATAGTTCATATCTTTAATTAGAAAAATAATTATAGTTTTCTTCTTAGAGTATTATAATAGAAAGTGAACATGAATAACGAATAAACCTCGAAAAAAACAAAATAGAATTTGTTTCTTTTTGTTCAGTATTAGGAAAAATATCTTTTCTACAAATAGAATCAAGTCGTCGTCCTTCGCAAATAGTTTTTCTGTTATTTATTCGAAGGAGAAAAAAGAAATGTACAGACTGCTACACAGCAGCAAAATTCTTATTGATAGGTTTGATCTCGAATTGACAGTGAAGAATTTTTTCAAACAGTATTCTACATAAGAGAGATAAAATCTCTATAAAAAAAAAATACTATACGGTGAACGAATCGAATAAAAGAAAAATAATAGATTGTATCACAACATAATCTCTGTTTCATCATCATTTAATGTGTATACGAGTTGTTTATATCTACTAATAATAACAACTAATGTTAAAAAATATATAATCGTTTTTAAGATATAAAAACTAATATCGAATAGGACAAGACGATTTAGAAAATAATTTAATTTTAATTGATTATAAATGACAATATTACCATAGGTAACATGAAATAATTCAAAAACGATTAAAAATAATGTTGAAAAAATCCATGGAATAAATAGATTAAGTTGATAAGAATAATTGGCATATAAAACAATAAGTGATGTAAATATTTGACATAAACACATGATTACAAGTAAAATATCAGCAATATCAGCTGCTATAGTAATTGTTGAACGTTCAAATGAATGAAGAATTAAACGAAAACTAATTGAACTAATAACAATTGTTATTAAACATAAAATAATCATTAATATTAACGAGATATATGTCCATAATTGAAGAAGTTTTGATTTATTATCAGTCATTCTTTTTTCATTGAAATTTGTCTAGATCTAGAAGAAAAATATCAAAAAAAAAAAAATATTTTATTTCGTATCAAATAACAAAATATACAATGTATTGTCCGAATTATATTCAGATTCATATAGAATTAATATATTATCTAATGGGAAAAAAAAGAAACAAGAATTTTTCTTTTTTTAATGACTACAACTATGACTTGTACAAACTTCTGTTATACTGAATATCAAATAAGTATTTTTTGTTATGCATGAGAAAAAAAACAAACCCGAAGAATAAATAAGAGAAAAGAACTAAATGTAAATAGAACTGTGACAGTAGAAATACAAGTATAGAATTAATGATAGATACTCATCAACCGGTGAAGAACGAACACAAGAAGAAGAAATTATAGAGAAATATAGTCTATCATTAAAACTTGCTGACATAGATTGGCATCATCTTAAAAGAAGAAATATTTAATCGATGACACAATATATATTCTTCTATTAATGGCAACATCAGTTAAAAGTGCATGTTTACTATTAAGTAATATAAAAAGAAAGAATACTCGAAAGGTGCTTAAAAATGTGATCTATCGGTTTTTTTCTTCTGTTATTTTTAGAGAAAAGGTAGATTGAACAAAAAATGATTATTTATTGTTTCAAAAAATTTTCAGAAAAAAAACTTCAAATTAATGAATTTAACAATTAATCAACAGATCGATCATACCCCGTAACAGTCAACTTTGGGGTGAGTCGGACGCTATGCGAAAAATGTATAGCTCTTCAAAAACATAACTTAGAGAGTTGGACAACATCTTATTTTGTGGTTTAAGGGTACCTCTCGTCTTCCTCTTTTTTAATTAATTTTTATTCTGAGATAGGATCTGGAGTATCTATGGTAAAGATTTCGACCCGATCGGACCATTTTTTCGAGGGATCATAATGTGACTGAATGAAAACTAGAGTTTTCCAGAAATCCATAGAAGATCATGTCATAAAATTCTGAGCAAAAATACATCGATTTTCTTTTTTGCTCTTCTATAAAGTTGAGATTCATCGGACGTGGACTCTGCATTGATAACAAGATGAAAAAAGAGGGGAAGGGGGCGTATCCTTAAACATTCTTTTTCAAAAATTAGACTCAAGCAAAGTTCAATTGATAATTCATACAATGTTTTAGAAATACGACACCTTCGAAAGAAGCGGCTTTTCTTTGATACATTTCAACTTCG